AGTAAAACACTAGCAATGAATTCACCTAGAAATATCTGTCGCAATGAAGTCGCTTACAAAGGTAATTAAAGTCAAGAACACATTTTCATTAGACAACACATTCACAGGAACGTGGCGCTGGCATCAGACCTTACAAGTTTTTGCTCTGAATTTTTTTGTCAATGAAACGATGAAAGGTTAGAGACAGATTTAGAGGAGGAAGCTGTTCATCCCTCTGTTGGTTTGGCACAGGGGAGGGATGGATGTACCTCTCCCTCCTGGAATGCTCCCTTGCCATTTCTCTCCGTTTCTGTCTTTCCCATTCACGACGGGCTTTATCCTGCTCTTCTCTATGTCTCTTCCTACGCTCATGTTCCCGTTCTTTCTCTTTCACTCTGGCATGTTTCCCTAAACAAACAAAAATGAATTTTGGAGTGTTACTATTCAAAATATTTAACGCTCCTACTTTTAAAAAGGAAAACTAGAAAGGACGAAACTCATGGAAACCTATTTTCATGTTCTCTGTTATTTTCTTAACGGAAAAATCCTGATTTGAAAGGGTGTTGGAAAATTAAAAGACTACAAGATCTTGCACAAACGCTTGCATTAAAAACAGAAAAAGGCTGTTAGCAGCAGGAATACAACATGAATGTTTCTAGAAAGGATATTTTTTCCTTTACAGTCAGGTACAAAGACCACAGCTCAGCCCACTCACTCAGCGAAGCCAGAAAGAAGCTTAACAGACTTCAAAGAGTAGAAGTAGACTCTGCGTCCCTGTCCCAAAGCGATTACTGTCCTCTCAAACACATATATACCCCCGTCATTCCCATAAGGGCATTAAACATAATCAAAGAAATAATACAAGTTTAAATTCCTTTGTCTTATCCACCTGACTCATTTTCTTTAGTTTGTAGTTATTGTAATTTACTTTCTACATAATGCCTGTTCGGCTTCACCTTGGGAAGCTACCAGAAATGTTACCCAAACGCAGTAATAACAACCTTCCGCTGAATGACTTCGATGTCTGCGTTTCTCTTTCCTCTTCTCATCTTTTCTGTGGTGGGTTTTTTCTTTCCGTGACATTTGCTGCGGTGGTTTTATAGCCAAGGAGTCATCTTCTTCTCCTCTAAAATACAAGACAAATTAATAAACTCAGGGAGGTTACATGTACTCTCAAACAGACTGTGTGTTACTTCCTCTTTTCTCTATTTTGAAAAGAATGCATTTTTTCCTATTTCATTTATATTAAAGTTCATTTCCATAATACCCCAGAACCAAGGCATTAACAGTACTTTACAGAAAATCAGCCACGTAGATGAGAAGTTAAGCTATTATTACATGCGCACTTTTAATACACAAGCAAACTGAGGATGAATTAAGCACTGAAGCGAACTCAGCAGGCCTGCTTTAACTGCATCGTGAGCAAAATACTTCATTACTTGGTAGCGGCCAAAACTGGACCACAGTTCTGTTAAGCCTTAATCAGTACTTCAAAATGATACCCTAGCATGTTCTAGGAACGGGAGGCAAGATGGCACATCTGCATGCTAAAGAAGTTAAAGTTTTCCCTTCACGTATTTTTAAAGACTCTTCTCAGTACTTCTAAAAGTTAATTTCAGTTACTCTTCCAAAGGTAACAAGGTTATTCTCTTATTCTTACCTGTCTTCCATGGAGTCTTCTCTCCTGTAAGGTGAATTTCTGATTGTTATTTCCATGCGGTGATCTCTCAACTCCCCCTCTTCAAGAGAATCCCGCTTTGAATCCCTATCATCTGACTGTGATAGAAATGCAAGAAAGGGCAAAACCAAAATACAATTAATTTTTACGTCACAAAATGAAAAAATTTAAATAGTACGCAACTCTTCCATTCCTGGCTCAAAAGGCATCCTCAACTGGTCGTACCAGTGAAGTATACTAACTTACGAAACAGATTTCATAGTTGTAAGCAGCCAAATACATATTTTATATTATATATAGATATATAAATCAAATACATATTGACTGCAACTATAGCTGAACTTTTGTAAATTCAATGTAATTAAATAATTAAGGAGCTTTATATTAACTATTGTGGATTTCTTTCCAAAAGAATGTTATTGTGTACATAATTGTACAAAAAGAAACGGTAACATATAAGTTATTCAAGAACAATTATTTAAACTCATTCTTCTAGAAAATCTTTGAAAGGTTTTTACTTGAACTGCAACTTCCAGTTAATGACATCAATTTCTTTCCCTTTTCTAACCAACAACTATGAAACAAAGCACAGCATACAACGTAAGGCCAGTGAGATCGCATTGTATTTTTGTCTAACTTTGGAATTAGAGATCACGCATGAAACATGCAGAAGAGCACAGAGGAATTCCACTGACAGGGCAGCAAGCCTTGTTCTCATCGGAAAATGAGGATATAGGCCCCGAAGCTCCGCAGATTTCATTAGAAATGCTTGTGTACCAAAGGGTGGCTTACGTTTTTCATACGTTTTATCTCTGCCTTCTCCTCTTGCTCCTTCCTTCGTTTTTTTTCCTGAAGAATTTCATCTAAAGTTTTCACTTTCCAAGAATCCTTTTCATCACCCATTTGAGTAAAAAAAAAAACAAACTCTGAAAAAGAACACAACGTTAATGAAACCTACACAAACTACAGAGCCCAACACGGCTGTGTCTGTATTACACTGACTTTACGTGCAGGCAAACACCTAAGACACCACCTTCGAGTAAAGTCCAGCTGCCCCTGACTTGTGCTGAACCAGAAAAGCCCGTTTTAAGCCTCGAAGCACACAGAGACTTTGCTACGGGCGTCGGGACCCGCTCGGGGACAACGAAGACGCC